GAGCAAATGAGAACGGGGAAGAGTTGCTATGCTATGCGGGGAAATCCCGTTCCCACACAACTCAGCCGATCAACGAAGCCAATCAAAGGTAGAACCCGGACAAAACCGCTGGGCGAGGACAGGTACCTGTTTAAGACACTTTGGCCAGTCACTTTTTTAGCTCTTTTTTTCCGTGCGGGGTGCGTGCGCGCGACCAAGTCAAATTGCATCGCATGCAATCGGCCGGGATAAAAGAGTTCGCCAGTTATGTCACACTATCCCCTCTATTTACTTGTTTATTCAAATGCTCCCAGGTAGCAAAATGGAGCAGACTGCATTCAAACCGTATTATATGTCCCATCTGAAACGCGCATTTTAGGCGCATGTACGCGCATATGAGGCGCCGACACGCGTTTTAGGCGCTTTTTAGATTGGACACAAAATATACATCGCACATAGTATGCAGCTCTTCTACGTGGGCTGGGTTTAGAGCTATAGCAAAAAAAAATCTTACGGCCATAGCGTAAAAAAGTTAAGGAGAGCCTGTTGCTCAGGTTGGGGGAGGCCGCCTCTGTGTGTGCTGCTCTGGGCGCCCTGGGCCACACTCAACTCAACCGGCCAAGGCTGGGGAATATTTCGGGCTGAACCGGCTGGGCAGGGCGGGGCGTGGCGAGGGGTGGCGGGGCGGGCGGGACCTGGCGGGGCCGGGCGTCTGCGGGGGTGGCCGTCGCACCTGTGCGTGAGTCGGTATGTAGGTGAGGCGCTTGGACGGGGACCGGCGGGGACTCGGTGCCGACAGACGGGGACGAGGAGCTCCGCTTACTCCTCACAGCCAGCGAAGCGGCTCGTAACAAACATTACATTATCCACCGTCTCGTGGGTAAGGAAGCACAATCCTAATCTCTAGCCTACACTTCAAACTACGAATTTAAGGATAATCGTCAATTTTGGGGATGAGATACTAGTTATTCTGTTTATTCGGGCAGGAATCACCTCGCCATCCTACGCGCAATGCTTACTTACTTGTTGTGCTGGACGCGCACCCGTCTGCTCGGGGTGACCCGGACGCCGTCCTTGTACCACAGCACGGCCGGCAGCGGCGTCCCCTGCGTCCTGCACACGAGCCGCAGCCGGCGCCGCGCGCGCAGCGTCACGTCCCGCAGCCCCCACACCTCCGGCGGCTTCACTGCAGGCACACGGGGAGGGAGAACAGTCAATGCACAGAAGGAATATTATTAAAAAGCGCCTACTGAACGCTTAGAACGGCTTGCGAACTAAAAGTAAGGCGGCAAAAGGTGATTGGTTTTCCAAGCAGAAAGTAGATTCCTCCACCGCAGCGTGTAATCATTTTCAGCCACCGAGCACTTCCAACCGAAATCTCCATTGTCGATAGAAAGATCAAACCAAAGAGTTATAGTTTGAAATAAAAATTTGAAATAAGTGAAATAAACGACGCAGAGATTCGGTAGTCTTGTCTTTCCCTACGAGCAGACCGCTCACGGACGGTCCGTTCACGGGTGTGGTGCAAGCGCCGGCGAGGTAGGCAACCCAACGTTCCCGAGAGCATTGTCTGTCTCGCGCTGCCTACCTCGCGGGCTGTCCACGGCGGCCGAAAAGGGTTCTGGACTGGACACTGGAGAGAAATGGTAAGAGGAGGGGGGGTGACGTCATCGACGTCCAGCGGCCGATGGGGCCGATGAGGGCGGGCGGGGCAGCGCCGGCGGTCGGCAGCGCCGGACTGACCCGAAGTGACCGCCGCCGGGGCGTGGGGGCCTGGCGGGCCCCACCGGCCCCACACGGGGCGGAGGAGGCCGTGTCCGCCCGGCTCTGCCCGGCTCACGGGTGGGCCCCCCACGCGCCCGCCGCCGCCGCCGCTCTGCCTGCGGTGAGCAGTGTTGTGTGCAGCGTGGTCTGATTTTGGGCGATTTTCGTGTAGCCGGGCGTGGCGTGGCGTGCCCCCCTTCCCTCCCCCCATCGAGACGGCTTGTTACAGCCGGGGCGTAGCGTAGCGCCAGAATAACGACCCCGAGTGGGGAGGAGAGTCAATCTCCATGCCGTTCCCTCGCAAATCTGATGGTGGTGGTCGGCAGAAGCATAATGTCTCTATGGCTGTGTAATTTTAATAAAAACGAAAAAGTCCTTTTGTTTTGCTTTTTGACAGAGCTCGACACAGATTTCATACCAAATTTTTCTTACCGACAGCGATTGGCATTGTTTTACAAAATATGTCGTTCTCTGAACATTCCTCGCGTAACGGGGGAATGCCTTGCCTGTCTTTATTTTTCCCTCCATCGGGAGAACGGCTTTCATAACCAATACACGGCATAAATTAGGCGGCCGATGAGGCAAACAAGTTATAATGCAGCCAAGGTACGCCGCGCTGCCCCAATCGAATGGTCTTGACCATTAGACGGTAATAGAGACATGCACAATAAAGAAAACAAAGAAGGCAGGAGGAGCACGAGGGGGAGGAGCAGGATGAAGTCGAAGAGGTGGAGAGAGGAAAGGGGGGG